TTTTTCACGATGGTAAGGCTATAGGCAAGGCTATTGTCAAAATGTGAACTTCTCATGTCATTTTTTAGTCAAAAACTAAAAAAGTTTGATGAAAATTTTTTTTAAATTATTTTTTAAAATTGTATTTTTTCCTGCATGTTTCTCATAAAATAAGGGCATTTAGAGAACATTTTTAGTAATTGTTTTCTATAAAACAATCTGTCAAAATGTGAATTTTATGTGTCATTTCCGGTCAAAAACTAAAAACGTTTGATGAAAATTTTTAATAAAATTATTTTTAAAAATTCTATCTTTTCTTGCATGTTTTTCATAAAATAAGGGCATTTAGAGAACATTTTTAGATATTGTTTTCTATAAAAATCTCTGTCAAAATGTGAACATTTTGTGTGATTCTTTTTTAAAAACTAAAAAAGTTTGACGAAAAGTTTTGTAAAATATTTTTTTTAAATTGTATCTTTTCCTGCATGTTTCTCATAAAATTAGGGCATTTAGAGAACATTTTTAGATATTGTTTTCTATAAAAATCTCTGTCAAAATGTGAAAGTTTTGTGTCATTTTTGCAGAAAACTAAAAAAGTTTGACGTATATTTTTAACAAAATATATTTTGTGTTTTCTATCTTTTCTTGCATGTTTCTCGTAAAATTAGGGCATTTTGAGAACATTTTTAGATATTGTTTTCTATAAAATGATCTGTCAAAATATGAATTTTATGTGTCATTTCCGGTCAAAAACTAAAAAAGTTTGACGTATATTTTTAACAAAATATATTTTTTTTATTCTATCTTTTCTTGCATGTTTCTCATAAAATAAGGGCATTTAGAGAACATTTTTAGAAATATTCTTCTTTAAATTTTTGTGTCAAAATGTGAAAGTTTTGTGTCATTTTTGCAGAAAACTAAAAAAGTTTGACGTATATTTTTAACAAAATATATTTTTTTTATTCTATCTTTTCCTGCATGTTTCTCATAAAATAAGGGCATTTAGAGAACATTTTTAGAAATTGTTTTCTATAAAATGATCTGTCAAAATATGAATTTTATGTGTCATTTCCGGTCAAAAACTAAAAAAGTTTGACGAAAATTTTTAATAAAATTATTTTTAAAAATTCTATCTTTTCTTGCATGTTTCTCGTAAAATTAGGGCATTTAGAGAACATTTTTAGAAATTGTTTTCTAAAAAACTAAGTATTTTAAGACAAATAAGTGTATTTTGAAAAAAATGACATACTATACTACAGCTTTGTTGAAGAAATCCAAACCTGGAGCGACATACCTGAAAATGTAACAGCCATGTTGACGTCGTTTTCAGAAATGTCTCCGATGCCACAGTGAATAATTTTCACCTCACATTCGTCCTGAGCATCGTAACTGTCCAGGATGTTTAAGATGGCCTCCAATGATCCGTCTACGTCACCTGACATTCAAAGATCAGAGTGTGAGCGTGAGACAGAAGCCAGAACATTTGGACCACACAGTCGCAGCATGGTTGTGGTCCTACTATTTGTACCTTTGATGACAAGTGGCAGCTGTGGCCGCCCGCCCTGCATCCCTTCACTGAGTAGATCCGTAGTCAGCTTGTCTCTGTACGAGCGGTAGGTCTCCAACTTCCTCCTTCTCCAGTTGAGGTGCGATAACTCTTCCCTCTGCTTCCTGTACTCCTGGAGGTGGCGCTGCTGCTTGTCTTCGATGACACTCAAGTCTTCTGCCATCTTCTGCTCTGCGTACTCACTGTTCCTCCATTCTACCACCTCCCGTGCACGCTGCTACTCAACAGCAAAACACCATGAGGTTACAAATAAACAAAAGAAAAAAGAAAAAAAAACAAATGGTCTTTTCTAAATTTAAAATCATTATCTATTTTTTTAAATTATGCAGATTTTTCCAACTAAAATTACATTTCTATAGGATATAATTCTTACCTCAGACTCCACCTCTAAAAGAAGATCACCAGCAGAGGGCAGGTCCTTCCACCCAACCACCTCCACCGCACAGCTGGGCCCCGCCTCTGCAGTTGTGCGACCATTCTCATCAAAGAGTGTACGTACTTTGGCCCAACTTTTTCCAGCTACAAGAATGCAGCCGCGCTGCAGCGTCCCCCGCTGGATGAGAGCTGTTGTTACAGGACTGAAGAGAAGCACCAGCAACATAAAATATGTCAAGTATGTATTTGCTGACTACGTCATCAACACTAACAATTCTTATTTTGTGATTATGTCATAGAGTTAGAACTAAAAAAGCCTTCAGAATGAGAGGTGAATTGTCTTCAAGAATTTAAGACAGTCCAGTTCCCCTCGATGTTCGGGTCATTAGGTTAGATTAAAAAAAAAAACATTTAAAGCAATATTTTTAATGGTGTCTGTTGACGATTTGGACATTGGAAGTGAGAAACATCTGTCCACTAGAGGGCAGACTGAAGGGAGCATTCCTTAACATAATAACATAACTAAGGAAATTCTTGTATGACAGCAGATCAGCTGCAACAGGCTGCCCCCTGGAGGTACCAAGGCCCTCTGGGAATTGAACCCAGGACTCTTTCATCTCTGCTTGCAACCAAGGCATGCTAACCGCTTCATTAAGTAACCACCAACTATGATATCTAGAGGTATTTACTCTTCTTTAAAGATGAGGTGTGTGTATCCTCTGGTCCTCACCCTCTGCCTTTGTCTGTGCGACTCTCGATGACGACTCCCTCCACTAAGCCACTGGTTTCGGCTTTGAGCTCCATCATCTCAGCTAATGTGACAGTGGCTTCGGTCAGAGACAGCAAGTTGTCTCCCTGAAGACAGGGCAGCACAAGTCATTGACGTCATACATTTTACACATCAACAACATCATGTTTTAGATTTGGTTCTGACCTTCAAAGCAGAAATGTGAATGGCCTGCACGTCCCCTCCAAACTCTTCACAAACAATGTTGTGAGCCAGAAGTTCCTGTTTGACTCTCTGAGGGTCGGCTTGATGTTTGTCACATTTATTCACCGCCAAAATGATCGGAACTGAAACACACACAGAAAAAAAAGAAAACAAACATTTAAAAAAAAGGTCAAGGAGAGGTGGCCAAAATGATCGGAACTGAAACACACAGAAAAAAAAGAAAAACATTTTTAAAAAAAGGTCAAGGAGAGGTAAGTGGTGAGAGAGTGAAGACAGTAAGACAGTCAAGACACTTAGAAAGCAATAAGGAACCAAAACAGAAAAGGGAGAGACACATGGGAGACAGGTGGCGCTGTCGCTCTAACCTCCAGCTTTCTTAGCGTGATCAATGGACTCCACAGTCTGCGTCATGACGCCATCGTCTGCTGCAACGACCAGAATGATGATGTCGGTGACACTGGCTCCGCGTGCTCGCATGGAGGAGAAAGCAGCATGACCTGGGGTGTCCAGGAAGGTGACCTTTTCACCTGAGGGCAGCTGGACTGTACAGCAAGATTAAGATTGGATTGAAATTTTTAAAAATCTGAGCGTAACAGATGACAAACAGCTGTGATCAGTTAAACTGGATCGAACCTAAAAAGGCCCCGATGTGCTGTGTGATGCCCCCCGCCTCTGTGGACACTATCTGGCTTTTCCTCAGACTGTCCAACAACGTAGTCTTTCCGTGATCCACGTGACCCATGATGGTGACCACGGGGGGGCGGGGCTTCATGTTTCCAGGTTCTGCTGGAGGCCTGTAGATGTCAAGTCACCACAGTTTGTTTACATTTTTGTGACAGGTGCTAAACAGGTGCTACAACAACTACATGTAGCTCAGAACAGCTAACGAGTTAACAAATGCTAATGGCAGATTTTGGTAGCTGTTGACAACCAACTTCTGTTTTAGAGGAGTTCGAAAAAATGAAAGCTTAACGGCAGCTAATCAGAATGAAAAGTCAACATCTCATCATCAGGTTGATGATGATCTGTGACCTGGTCGGTGAGTCTGTGTGTGCTTCCTGTTTCTGTTACCTTGGATGGGCGTCTTTGTTTATTTTCTCCTCGCTCACTGTCAGGTCAGCCCAGTGGAACTTCATCCCTGATTGCTTCACCACTTCCTTGATCCACTTCTCACTCAAAACAGAGTTGGGGTGCAGAGAGTCCACATCTATTGAGGTGTTCAGGAGACTCTCAAACACATGGTCTGAAATTGAAAAAAAAACAAAAACATTTTTTGACACACATCAACTTAGAAATGCTCAAATCTCCAGATCGTTGTTGTTTCTCACCGCAGTCTTTGTTCATGGCGGCTGCGAGCGCCGACACCGTCATCCTCTTAGAGATCTCCACTTCCTGCTTGTTCACATTAGCTTTGACCTTGGATCGCCTCGGCTCCTTCTTATGACCCTTGTTCTGAAGATATGTGACACTGTCAGGGTAGTCAGGTGTTGACATGAGCTACGTCCTAATTCAAGACGTGCAGCTCTCATTGGTTGTCTTTGTTAGCCAATGGTTATGGTGACGTTTCAGACAGCAGACACCAAATACAGTTCTTCACATACAGTATATGCCTTCATTTAATAACGTCGTGGCTGTGATGCCGCCTGAGGCTCACCTGTTTAGAGGCGTACTTCCTGTTCTGAAGAAAAGTACATAACGGTGGCGTCAGGTCGTACTGAAACTGGACTGTGTTGGCGTGGACCAGCCGACGCGCTGCTCGCATCACTGCACACATCCCAATCATGACTGCAGAGAGATGAGTCGAGTAAACATGGAGTGGGTGGGGGGGCATTTTGACACAGACAAGTGGATATAAAGAGACAGAGAGATAACGGGTGGTGTACAGAGAAAAGGTGAAGAAAGGAAGGCTGAACTAGAAAGATGATGATGTTGCGTATTGATCACAAACTTGTGACACTTCCACTGTATTCAATCGCACCTTAGCTAATCACAGCAGGCAGCTGGTAAAGGGGACGTGTTTCGTCATCGTGACGTTACACTGACGTTCTTAGAATGAGTTTGAACAGCAATCATTAGCCAAAATCGAAACGATTGGAGGAGACGCTTCCTTTGAATGAGCTCGATTTAACTGATACAGTTCATCGATATATTCACTCCGTAATAAACACGTGACATCATAAAGTAGCATCGCCAAACCTTAAAGCTCACCTTTGTTTATGTTATCTCAGCTCATTCACACTGTCACACCGGGGGCCGCCATGACACTTGGTTAGAAAGGGTCGAAGAAGAGCAATCGCTGCTGCTACTGCCACCTTCCGGCGCGGGGCAGAACGGCAACTCTGTCCGTTGGTTTCAGTAAAACTGTTAAGAAAAAACGCAAATTGTTAAAGTTAAACACGCCTGAAAGTCGACAGGATGCTGTTTGTTGTACATTTATTTTGATTCCATTCAAACTTTTGGGGATAAAAGATTTAGGTTTATTTTTGATAACTTGTATTAACCAGGAAATGTGAAAAAATATGTGAAAAAATACGCTGCAGGTTTATAACCATGACGATGTGTGAAATGAGAAAATACAATCAGCCATACTAGATTTAAAGTTGAAATACAAATTTAAAAAACTGGCGATGATACATATAAAACGTTTTTAAAAATATCGAGTCAAAATCAATCGGCATAAATATTGTAAAATCATGTGATTAGTATAAACTTACAAATTATTATACAATTTTGTGTAAATCTACAAAATCTAAATGAAGTAAAATCATGTGATTAGTATAAACTTAAACTACAAATTATTATAAAATTTTGTGTAAATCTACAAAATGTAAGTGACATTTTTGTTACTGTAAATGTAAACACCATTTATAAGTTTGTGTTGAATTTAATTTAAATATTCCTAAACTGGGTTCTGTAATGAAAAGGTTATATTTTGTCATTTTTATATTTTTACTGAGAAATGACAGGACAGGTCATATGATCAATCATTCCGTTTTATTTCTACAGCACATACACAAAGACAAGACCAAGCGCCATCTTCTGGACAGAAAAGGGTGACGCATTTTTGTTCTGCTCACATACACTTTTATTTTATTCTACCTTCTATGTTTTTTTTAATCTATTTGATTTCATCTGACGTTGTTTTGAGGTAGAACATTTTTTAAAATGTAATTTTTCTATTAATGATACCATACAAAGATCAATCTTTTTTCAACATTGTCAT